ATATGCCAGGGATGCTGGTCAAAGACTTGAGGTAAAGCTAAGGAATAGGGAGGGGATGATCAGATGATATAGTTTAAGATTATGTCGCTTATGTGACAATGTATGGGACATACCTTTGGGATCAGCATAAAGAAAAATATTACAATGCTTTATCATGAGTTCCTAGAATACAAAATATACAATCACTACTGATTACTGAAGTGGATCAGTCAAAGCATTTAAAATGAATTTCAATGTATATTTGCTGAGAGATATAAAGGTTAAAAACGATGAAGATTAATTGGGTTCGATGGCTGATATATTTGTTTTTGTATCATGAAAATGATGAACTAATTTGGGTCTGTAGCGCTAAATTCCTGTGTACTAAAATTTTTATGAGCGCAATCTGTTGCAAGATAGAATTTATGGAGGGGTTAAGATGGCAATATAAACAGCATGTGCAGAATTTGAATAGTTTGTTAAGATGATCTCAACTCCCAGATGGCTTGCACTGCAGAGTAAACTGTACTGTCTGACGTGCAAATCTTTGTTTTAATTCTTTCCTCATGGTTAGACAGAGAGGGATATTGTAGGCATTTAACTCCACCATCAGACTCTGTGGCATGTGCAGACATGCTGAAGTTGAGACTTATTTTTACTGCGTATTACAATGGCTTGTTTTAGATTACATGGATTATAAATATGTAGAATTACGATCACTTGAATAAATTGCTTTCACTTGGGTGCACTTCTTGAACCATAGTAAAATATAGCACAAATGGAGGCCATTTGAAAGTCTAGTTCCCGCCTCTATCCCTATATCCATGTGATTTTCTTTCCCCATCAAGTATTTGTGCAACTTCCATTTGAAATTTAAAGTCAAAGTTTTTGTGTTGTTTTTTTTGTGATGCTGTCTCAAATCCTCAATGTTGAAACATATTTCATACAGTATTTTACCCTCCACCACCACCTCCATTATACACATAAGCATTGCTTATTCAGACACCCAGATGCTTCTAGCTGTCTGTAGTTATAAGTAATCAGATGGGATTTTTCACAAATCCTTGCATCTTTAGTTATTACTTTGCTGGTTATTCATTGGTAGTTACTACTGTTTGCTTGTTGGGCACGCATTGTCTTTAAATAAATCATTAGCAGGCTAAGCAATGATTCCATCTTTTAAATGTTTTGAATGTGTTACTGTCTGAATTCTTCTATGATAGAGATTCAACCCAGAACCAAGAAAAAGTTCCATGATAGTGGACTTTAGAGCAAAGAATTGGCTAGACGTTGAACTGTGGAATGTAGTGTAGCACAGCATTTCTTTCCAAATAAAACAAGGCTGCCGATTCTTCTTAGAAAGTGTGTTATGAAAATTAAGCGATAAACTGCATGTAATTTATGTGGATAAATACACATGGATGATGATTTTCAATCATTTACTATTCACAGTAAAATTGAAGAAACTTAGGTGATTTTGGTGTAGTAGACTTAATCAATGTTTATTACTCATCAGATTTGCCTTTTGTGTCTGTCGGACATTCATATTGTTAAATTTAAATTTTATAATGGAAGTTGACAAATATCTGAAGGTTGAAGCAAGTGTGATTGGTATTGAACAGTAATGATGAAAGCTAACTTACATTATACATATTTGGAAATACAATACATGGATGTGAAGTATATTAAAAAGTATATTATTAAAAAGAAATTGCATGCTGTTTAGAAAATATAAAATAGCATTCAAAATCCAGAGCGTGAATATTGCATAGTCAAGGCAACATCATGGGTTGTAAGAATGCAGTTTAATTGGTTGAAAACCAGGCACCTCATCCCTGAGAGAGATTATTATCTGATTAAATCCTCTGGAGCATGAGGTTATATTTGCAGCAATTTTTTTTTGCCGTCATTCCATATACAATTCACTGTCTTTTTGCTGGAGGCATAATATGATGGATACTTAAATGGTCAAACTGTCCATAATGTGCTTTGGGTGATGTTGGACTTTCTTAGGCTGGATGAAGTGATTGTATGATGTACTTTTGGTATACCACTTTGTCAAGTAAGTTTCTAAATATTTTACTACTCTGGCACAAACTGTCAGTGTTACTTACTCCTGGTCCAATTGTAGCACTGTTGCTTGTGAGCTAAACTTCCTTTTATACTGAACTAACAATGGGAAAGCTTTCCCCCATGTCACAAAATTTGTAAATCTATTTAAGAGAACTGTTGAATGGAAAATATCCTCCCTCAATGCTTAAGTATACAACTTCACAAGAATGTTTTTGTTTCAATATGAACAAATTACTTCTCGCTTTGACTCATTTTGATCCCAAAGTGGTGGAGTTGAATTGTCTTATCTGTTAATTTGTATTCATTAGTGAATTAAAATGCCTTGACTGTTTTATCTTCTCACTGATTTATTTTTTAAATCACCTGAAGCATAGGGAAAGGAGTAGGATATTCAGTCACCTGGAAGTGTTCTTCCCTTCAGTTAGACCTGGCTGATGTGTACCTCAATCCTACTTACTTTTGCCCTATATCACTCCATTACTTTGCCTTATGAAATTAACCCATCTGTCTTGAACATTTAGTTGACATAGCCCTTCTAAGGAGAGAGAGCATTCAACTGTTTACCATATGAAGAGTGCTTCCAGATTTTGTTCCTAAGTGTCTTATCAGATAATCACCACCTTTTCCTTTTCACCATTTTGGATCATCTCACCGGAAGAAATTACTTCTATTTTACTCTCCCTTGAGCATGTGGACAATGGCGTGAAAGGTGAATTGAATTGAATCCTTTATTGTCACATATATTCAATATAAAATACAGTGAAAAGAACAGAAATACAGCACAGGAACAGGCCTTCAGCCCTCCAAGCCTGTGCCAATCATCATGCCCTGACTAAACTAAAAAACAAACCTTCTGCCCTTATTCGGTCTGTATCTCTCCATTCCCTCCCTATTCATTTAGCCATCCAGATGCCTCTCAAATGCCGCCAACATGCCTGCTTCCACCACCTCCTCTGGCAGTGCATTCCAGGCTCCTACCACCCTCTGCGTGAAAATCTTTCCTCGCACATCTCCCTTAACTTTTGCCCTATCACCTTGAACCTGTGCCTCCTTGTAATTGAAACTTCAACCCTGGGAAAAAGCCTCTGACTATCCACCCTATCTGTGCCTCTCATAATTTTGTAGACCTCTATCGGGTCTCCTCTCAGCCGCCATCTTTCCAGTGAAAACAATCCTAGTCTTTTTAACCTTTCCTCATAGCCAGTGCCCGTGAGACCAGGCAACATTCTCTGCACTCTCTCCAAAGCTTTCATGTCCTTCTGATAGTGTGGTGACCAAAACTGCACACAATACTCCAAATGCGGCCTAACAAGGGTTTTATATCGCTGCAACATGGTTTGCCAACACTTGTACTCCCTGCCCCGGCCAATGAAGGCAAGCATGCTGTATGCCTTCTTAATCACTTTGACCACCTGTGTTACCACTTTTAGGGAAGTGTGGACCTGCACTTCCAGATCTGTCTGTATGTTAATGTTCCTAAGGGTTCTGCCATTAACAGTATAATTCACACCTAAATTTGATCCTCCAAACTGCATCACCTTGCATTTGTCTGGATTAAACTCCATCTGCCATTCCAGTGCCCAGGTCGCCAATCTATCTATATCCTGCACTATCAGCAACTCCACCAATCTTCGTGTCATCTGCAAACTAACTAATCAGACCACCCACATTTTCCTGCAGATCATTCATATATACTACAAACAACAGAGGACCTAAGACTGATCCGTGTGGAACACCATTAGTTACCAGTCTCCATTCTGAAAAACACACTTCCATCGCTACCCTCTGTAGTCTATGACCAAGCCAGTTTTGTAACCATCTAGCCAGCCCACCCCGAATCCCATGTGATTTTAGATTTTGTACCAAACTGCCATGTGGGACTTTATCACATGCCTTACTAAAGTCCAAATAAACTATACCCACAGCTCTTCCCTCATCAATTATCTTTGTCACCTCTTCAAAAAAAATGATCAGGTTGGTGAGACATGATCTTCTCCGTACAAAACCATGCTGCCTGTCGCTAACATTTCTTCCACATGTGCATATATCCTGTCCCTCAGTATCTTCTCCAAAAGCTTCCCCACCACAGATGTCAGGCTCACCGGCCTGTAATTTCCTGGGTTATCTCTGCTTCCTTTCTTAAACAAGGGAACAACATTGGCTCATCTCCGGTCCTCTGGAAACTCGCCTGTGGTCAAGGAGGATGTGAAGATATCTGCCAATGCACCAACTATTTCTTCCCTTGCCTGTCGCAGTAACCTGGGACAGATCCCATCTGGCCCTAGGCAATTGTTTACCTTAATGCAATTTAGGATACCCAAAACTTCCTCCTTTAATATGTTGACATCCTCTAGAGTATTCACACACTCATCCCTGACCTCAGCATCAATCATGTCCTTCTCCTCGGTGGATACCAATACAAAGTACTCATTAAGGATCTCTCCCACTTCCGATGGCTCCACACATAACTTCTCTCCTTTGTCCTTGAGGGGGCCTACTCTTTCCCTTGCTACCCACTTTCTTCTAATATATGCATAAGAAGCTTTGGGGTTCCCCTTGACTCTGTTTGCTAAAGACATTTCATGCCCCTTTTAGCCTTCCTAATTCCGTGTTTAAGTTCCTTCCTAATTTCTGTATACTCCTCAAGGGCTTTGTCAGTTTGTAGCTGCCTAGACCTATCGTATGCTTCCTTTTTCCTTTTGACTAAGTTTACAATTTCCCTTGTCATTCATGTTTCCTGGATCCTGCCATTCCTACCCTTCAGTTTTGCAAGGACATGCATGTTCTGCATTTTAATCAACTGGTCTTTAAAAGCCTCCCACATGCCAAATGTAGTTTTGCCCTCAAATAACTGCTCTCAATCCACATGCCCCAGTTCTTGTCTAATTTGGATGTAATTGGCCGTTGCCCAATTAAACACCCTCACCCAAGGGCCACTCTTGTCCTTGTCCATGGCTACTTGAAATCACTATGGAGTTATGGTCACTCAGCCCAAAATGCTCTCCTACTGAAACGTCAATCACCCGTACTGGCTCATTCCCAGGACCAAGTCGAGTATGGCCGCCTCTCTGGTTGGATTATCAACATACTGCCTCAAAAAGCCCTCTTGGACACATCTAACTAATTGTTCTCCATTCAAGTCCCTGGCTGTAAGGGAGTCCCAGTCAGTAGGAGAAACATTGAAGTCACCCACCACAACTACCCTGCTTTATTTTATATGAAAGTTTATACCATCACTATGCATCAGTGCTATTCTCAGTAACTTAAATACAAAAAAGGAAGATAATTAAAAAAAGAGTCTAACTTTTCCTTCTCCAGTCCCGGTCCAGGCTTCACTACCCCATGCCATGCCGCAGCCAGACTCCCGTTCTGGGCTTCACCAGCCTGAGAAAACACGGCAAGAATAGAAAAAAAAGATCAGAATCTTGACTTCAAAACATTAGGTTTCTGATTTTTCCCTCCAGCTTTAAATGGCAACTTTGGAATCACACATCTCTCACATTGAATGGTTACTGCCTTTATTGCCATGCATTTGCATCTCACTAATAGCACAGCTCAGCTTATTTCTACACCACTTCCAATTCTCTTTTGCTTTCCGTGAGAAATAGCCAGCGCCAATTCCTGACATATAGGTGCCTGGTGGCTGCAATTTGCCAATTGCTTCATCCAACTCTGTCTTCAACACACAACGTATACTCCATGGGCACCAACTTCCTCAAACCATCATCCACACAAGTCAGCAGCACCAAACCCCCAGGCTCACTATATCATCATGCCTGCTCACAGACTGACTCACACACCACTCCAGGCCTTCACCACTCAGGTATACCTAAGATTGCGCGCTTCTGCTAGATCACTGATGCGATTGGGCACACTCTCATCTCTCCATATGCGATGTACCTTTTGGCCCTAGCATTGATTTTCTTTACAGTCATGCACAGACTTGGAGGCTGCCAGGCTCTTTGTTTTATTGTTTGTTGATGGGAAGCAGGCGTCACTGGCTAGGTCAGCATTTGTTGCCAATCCCTAATTGTCCAGAGAGTAGTTAAGAATCAATCACATTGCTGGGGGTCTTAAGTCGTATGTAGGCAAGACCAGCTAAGGATGGCAGTTTCCTCCAAAATGGACATGGGTGTTTACTAATTCCAGATTTTTAATCAAATTCAAACTCCATCTTCTGATATGATGAGATTCAAACCCAGGTTCCCAGAACATTAATTGGATCTCTAAACTAATAGTATTGCGATAATTCTAATGAGGCCATTGCCCCCTCTGTTTGTTGCATTGCCTTTTAGCAGAGAAGGAGAAGCAGGCAGCTAGTCCTGACGAGGAACAATCAAGGGAGTTGACATATTACGATACAGCACATTGACATCACAGCCCCAATATGAGCCAGCAGCTTACAGAGCAAACATACTATATGTGCTTCAAACAAATGGCAACGTGACAGGGGGAGCTAATCCTTAGTGGGTTGGGGGGGGGGGGGCTATGTTAATTAGGGGATACTGCTGCAGTCAATCAGAGGCTTGTCTGATTCCACCTTAGGGGATGGCCACAGTCAGTCTGGTGCTTAGTTCTACCAGAGTCTGGAGATTTGTATCCCTGCTGTTCAGCGATTGGGCCACAGGTTGGTCCTGTACGACAAGTGAAATCTGTCCAGGGATTACACTTTGTGGAGCCATCTGCCTTGGGGTAAGCCACATATCCTGCAATCAGACAAATTGAGGTATTGAGTAATGATGGAAATGATTGGATAAGTGATTAGTATTGACACAGGAGCTGGAGAGGCGTCCTCAGTAAGGGAGGAGGAAGTGCTAAGGGTTGAAAGGGTTAGTGGTTTGGAAATAGCTGAACACCATTGAGTGGACATGAGACATGCAGTAGTGAGGGGTTATAGTCCATGAGACTTGGTGAGATGTGTCTGCAGTGACAGAGTTAAGGACAAATGGTGGCCTTGTGAATGTGAGGTAATAGAGAGAAGATAGTCATACTTCCCCTGCAGAACATTGAAGATCACAGAGAGATAGTAGGAATTGCTGATGCTGGAGTCTGAGATAACAAGGTGTGGAGATCACCGACCTACTTCTGGCAGTGCTGGGTGTAACTTTTAAACCCAGAACACCATACTGCTGGGGACTGTCTGGGTCCAGGCCTCCTTTGGAGATCAGCAGGGAAAAGAGCTGCTTCCTCTTCACTAGCCCTTTCAGGCCCCTGTCTATGAAATAGGGAGCCAGCATTCCTTTCTGGTCCGTCTTCTCAGTGAAGTGCCACAGTGTAGGGAGCAGTTCCTGGCATGCACTGTGGAGCTGGACTTTAACTGTAGCTCCAGTAGGAGAAACACCACAAGGTCCTGACAGTGGTAAGCTCTTTCACCTGTCCTGCTCTACAATACTAAGAGAAGGGCATTGAGGAGCCCGGCTACATCATTGATGAGGTAAAGACTGGACAATTGCATGAGAAAAGTTTCTTGAGCTGCAGCAGACTGGGTGCTGTAAATCTCACACAAAGCCCTTTGAAAGTGGAAAAATTCCACTCTGTATGTATTCAGTTTGATTAAGATTTTCATTGTTTTAAACTCTTCACTAAAGTCACCTGTCAACCTTTAACTACAATAGGATACAAACCACGTTTATATCTCATATTTCTTAGTTCTGGTATCGTGGCATTATTCCAATAAATATGCACTGAACTGTTCCTAAAAGCAGTATAGCACTTTGCCCAAAACTGAAGACAGTTTCCCAGATAAGTCTAAGCAGGCCTCTGTATGATTAAACCATCACTTCCTCACTTTTGAATTCAGTGTTTTGCAATGTAAAACCTGCTCTTTCACTCAAGCGCCTGAATGATATAGTATCCTTAGAACTCATAGAAATCATTGGATGAATTCCTATTCCAGGTGCTAAAGGAATGCGTTGAACTCACTATGCCACCTTGTCACTAAGCAAGGGTTTTTAATTTGTTGTACAGTTTGAGTTTGTGCTGGGGTAGGTGAATCATTTACAGTGTGTGCTGATTCCAGCATAAACATACTTGTGTTGATTCACAGTCAGTCAATTCCTTAATGCTACTCTGCAAGAGAAGTTTCAGCTTTAATACTCTGATTCATTCTGTTAACCTCAATGTTATGCTGTGAAATGGGCCAAAAGAACTCCAGTTATTCAGAGCTCTGTTAACTTCTTGGAGATATTGTCTTCCTTTCTCTTTAATTACTTTGCTTTTACCAAAGGGAAACTTATAAAAACTAAATGGTTATTTTTGCTGGTGTCCACAAAGTTTTCCAGTTTTTGCGGTTTCCTCTTGTTATTGAGGCCTTCGAGAATACTGACGGAGACTGCATGCTGTAACTCCAGGGCTGTTTATGTGCAGAAAACTCCACGGAGGCAAAACTGTTTAAATTCAGACAGCATAGATTTCCAAAATGTAGTTTTAACTTCTGAGAAAAAAAGCCACTGCTTTCTACTATTTCATATTTTTTATTTTTTTTTCCTCTCAGCAAGAAAGCCAAAATCCAACTCTGTCAGTGAACTGACCTAGTGCCTTCCTGTGGCTATTGGCATGTCATCATTGCAAAGTTATATCTTCTATTCAGGTAAGCTCCAAAGCTTTGTCCAATTTCAATGTTCAGTTCTGTAATTATTGGTTAATGCCATCACTTTGTAAATAAAGTGGTTAAGGCAGGAAGAACAAACTTAGGAATTAAATTGTGTTGCATTAAGTTGATGAAAGTAGTTTTCAGAACTTGTAAACAGATCTGTAAATTAAGATGATAGCTTTATATGGTGAAGGTTATATACTGGTGCACGTTGGAGAGAGTTGGGCAATGGCTACAAGCAGCTGCCTTCTGTATAATTATCAGCAGTAACACTGGTCAGCCCACATGTTAAATGTTTGTTTTTTTGGTCAGCAGATGTAATTCAGAGGCTGCATCAGGTAGTTAGTCCACGGTGCTAAGATTGTGAGTCTGACACACTGTTCAAATCACATGATAGCCTTTTGCTGGCAGAGTTAGCCAAAAGGTAAGGAATGGGCTCATGTGGAGGATTAATGCTGGCATGGACCAGTTGGATAGTATGGCCTGTTCTTGAGCTGATGGTTCTAGGTATTTAAAAGAAACTAAACATTCCGGAAGCAGGCAGTGCTTAAAAGGACCAGAAACTGTGATACCAAAGATTAGGTCATGAATAAAAAAAACTGGTGAAATTGGACATCTTGAAAGGAGGTAACCGAGGGAGATACTTTTAAGTAAGTATTCTAGAGTTCAGAAGGATACAATGATTAAAAGGTAGGTAAGGATTGAGGGGAAAACTGAAATGTGTAAATAAAGCAGTCTGTGACAGTTGTTAGGAATAATAAATTTGGAAAATAAATAGAAGTTATTTTTCATTGTTTTGTTACTGGTTTGTTACTACTTTTGTTTAAGGCCCCAGATTAATTCAAGGCAAAGTTAAGGGAAGAGTTTACATGACCAGAGCTATATTTGTTAGAATTTAGAAGTTCAAAGGTGGATTGAAAGAAACTATTTCTGCTGACTGGGGCACCTCAGATTAAGACAGGGTCTAAAAATGAGAAACAAATATTTTAATAGTAAATTTAAGTAATACTTCCTCATGCAAAAGATGGTGGATGTTTGAAACTATCTTCTGTGAACATCAATTGATGCTTGATTGTTAATTTAAAACTGAAACCGAGAGATGTTTGTTAGCCAAAGATCCAAAGAGATACGGAGCAAAGACAGATTTAAAATTAGCTATGATCTAATTGAAAAGCAGACTAGGTTTGAGGGGCCATAAGGCCTCCTCATTTTCCTCGGTAACTACTATTTGAGCTCTCTGTCTGAATATTTTCAGGTCTGACCCACAGCACCATAATCCTCACCACAATTAGGGCAAGAAGGCAAGTTGCAAATTTAGGCCCAGCTAGAACAGGCATCAACTTCCAAGGTGTTGGCACAAATCTGATCCATCCAACTAATTAAGCTGCCTGGTCTGCCAAGGAGCTGTGGCAACATGTACTTTTCCATGTAATGTAGAGCTAAGAAGAGTGATGATGGAGGCTTCCATTTCCTTTCCTCATTTTGCTAACCTGGGCCCAGTCCTGTTTTTACCAACTGCATTGCTGTATGTTTGAAGGATTTGCAGATTGACATTCAACGTGGTTGATCGTATTATCTTCATTGAACATTACGTCCCAGCACAGGACTTGAACCTGAAGCTCCAAAATGCTACAATACCTCCTTAATAGACAATATAATAACCTCCTTCATGAATACTGAGTTGGGTCAAACAAATTTCCTGCTGTGTGTCTCTTGATCTTTATCTTCTAACTTGCAACTGGAAGCTAAAGAGTACGGTTGTTAAAACCCTAGTTTGGCTGCAATTTAATTTGGGGTTATAATTTGTCTTTCTGAAATTAATGTAAGGGAACCAGTCTTGTACTAATACCTTTTAGTGTGCACAAGTATCAGATTATAACCTGATTCCTGAGTCATACTTTTGCACTCAGCTTGGTGGAAAAACTTAGAGCCATAGGAAATAGGAGAAGGAGTAAGTTGCTTGGGCCTTGGAGTCTGGTCCATCATTCAAAATGATCATAACTGTCCATAAGACCATAAAATACAGGAGCAGAATTAGTCCATTCAGCATGTTGAGTCTGCACCACCATTTGAACATGGCTGATATATTTCTCAGCTCCATTCTCCCGCCTTCTCCCTGTAACCTTTGATCCCCTTACTAACGATGAGCCAATTTAATTAATGTCTTAAATCCACTCAATGACTTGATGTCAACAGTCTGTGGCAGTGAGTTCAACAGATTCACCGCCCTCTGGGTGAAGAAATTCCTCTTCCTCTCAGTTTTAAAGGGTTGTCCCTTCACCAAGGCTGTGCCCTCGGGTCCTAGTCTCTCCTACAAGTGGAGTCATCTTCTCCACGACAACTCTATCCAGGCCTCTCAATATTCTCTAAGTTTCAGTGAGATCATCCCCTCATCCTCCTAAGCTCCATCGAGTACAGTTCCAGAATCCTTGGCCGCTCCTAATATGACAAACCCTTCATTCCTGGGATCATTCTTGTGAACCTCCTGTGGACCCCCTCCAATGCCAGCACATCCTTCCTGAGATATGGGGCCCAAAACTCTTCATAACATTCCAAATGCAATCTGATCAGAGCCTTATACAGCCTCAGCAGTATATCCATGCTGTTGTATTCTATCCAACTCAAAATGAATGCTAACATTGCATTTGCCTTCTTAACTGCCAACTAAACCTTCATATTAACCTTGAGCGAATCCAGAACTAAGACTCCTCAGTCCCTTTGTACTTCAGGCTTCCACAGCCTTTCCCCATTTAGAAAATGATCTATGTTTCTACTCTTCATACCAAAGCTCATAATCTCACACTTTACCACATTGTGTTCCTTCTGCCCTTCTCTGCCCACTCTCCTAGCCAATCCAAGTCCTTCTGCAGCCTCCCCACTTCCTCAACACAACCTGCCCAACCACCTATCTTTGTGCCATCTGCAAATGCTCATAAAACCCAGTACTATGTTCCTGCTTTCTCCCTATAACTGTTGATCCCTTTAGCTCTAAGAACTATATCTGACTCCTTCTTCAAAACATTCAGTGTTTTGGCCTCAAGCGCTTTCTGTGGCCGAGAATTCCACAGGCTCCCCACTCTCTGGGTGAAGACATTTCTCCTTATCTCAGTCCTAAATGGCTGACACCCTATCCTTAGACTGTGAATCCTGGTTCTCAACTCCCCAGTCCTGGGGAACATCCTTCCTGTGTTTATCCTGTTTGGTCTTGTTAGAATTTTATGTGTTTGTATGAGACCATCCCTTCATTCTTCTAAACTCTAGTGAATACAGTCCTAACTGCTCCAGTCTCTCTCCATATGTCAGTTCTGCCATCCCAAGAATTAGTCTGGTAAACCTTTGTCACACTCCTTCCATAGCCAGAACATCCTTCTTCAGATCAGCAAACGAACATTGCACACAATACTCCAGCTGTGGTCTCATCAAGGCCCTATACAACTGCAGCAAGACATCCCTGTTCCTGTACTCAAATCCTCTCACTATGAAAGCCAAGGTCTTGTACAGGTGAAAGAATGGCAGTATAATTACAATTTAATTGACCATTCCCTCCAAGACAGTTTCACTGTATTATACTGTGGAGGGGAGCTGATGACCGAGTGGTATTACTGCTAGTCTATTAATCCAGAGATCCAGGTAATGTTCTAGGGACTTGGGTTCGATCCCACCATGGCAGATGGTGGAATATGAATTCAATAAAAAATCTGGGATGAAGACTCTAACAGTGGCCATAAATCCATTATCAATTGTCGGAAAAACCCTTCTGATTCTCTAATGTCCTGGAGTCACATCCAGACCCTCAACAATGTGGTTGATTCTCATCTGCCCCCCGGGCAATTCAGGATTACCAATAAATGCTGGCCTAGCCAGTGATGCCCTCATTCTGTGAATGAATAAGAGACATATATTTAAAGACAGAGGTTGGAAATTAATGCTTGTGAGACCTCCAGATTTTTCATCTGGCAATGGGTTTGTAAAAATTTACACATTAAAGCTATCAAACCCCTACAAGCTATTGTCAGTTGCATTCATTGATAAGTTAATAAATGGGAGACTGCCATTGCACAGAAATTCAAAGTTAAAATCTTAATTTCCAAATTTGTTTTTGAAGTAACTTATGAAGGCCGGTATCCTGTCATCAAATCACCCTTTATTTACACGTGCACCATATGTGGACCCTGAATAGCTTGCTCAGAGTCAGTCCCTAGAATGAGGAGAATCTCTGAGACTCCTGTTTATATCTGTCAGCCACAGCTCCCTGATTGGGACTGTTAACCCTGGGCCAATTGGGGATCTTATACTCTGAGATCCAGTTGGCCAAGCTTGTTCCAATCTCTACAGTTTTGTACCAAACACAGAGCACTGGAGAAAATCAACCAGTGTAGCAGCATCTGTAGAGGAAACAAAGTTAGTGTTTCGAGTCTGGTATGACTATTCTTCAGAACTGAAAGTTGTTGGAAAATAGGCTCTTTTTTTGTCTTTTTGGCAGAGGCAGAGTATGAGCAAGACAGTGGGTGGTATAGAGGCCAAATGCAAAAGACAAAGGAGTTGTTAACAGTCAAAAAAGGAAAGAAAAGATGTAAAAAGGATATAATTAAGTTTGGAATGGAGGGACTTAGTCCTTGCTACAAAGCACAAAATAAACAAGGTACAAACACAACACGACTATGGGGGAAGGATGTAAGAAAAATGGAGGGCACATGTAAAGTGATCAGTTTGTGAAGTTATTGAATTTGATGCTGATACCTTGAGGTTGTAAAGTGCCTGGAGAGGAAAATGAGGAGTTGTTTCTTGAGCTCGCATTATGCTTTGTTGGAACATTGCAGCAGGCCCAGGACAGAAATGTTAACATGAGAGCAAGGTGCTTTATTGAAATGGCAAGCAACTGGGGGGCAGGGTCATTCCTTTGCACAGAATGGAGGTGTTTTGTAGGTGCTACAGAGACAACAATCCCTGCAGAACGCTGCCGATGAAGGGAAAGTATTCGGTCCATCTCTGACTCT